ACACTGAGTCAGGATCAGAAACTGTAGTCCAAGTTTATAATCCCAGCACTGAGAAGGCTGAGGCAGGAGGATCATGATTTTGATACTATCCTACACTATGTAATGGGTCCATATCTTACAATGAGGGAGGGAAAGTAGTTAGAATGAAAAGGTACTGGACTGGAAAGCAGGCTTAGTGGGTAAAGATTCCCAGCACCTACTGAAAGCCCCACACAGCTATAACCCAAGGGCTGGGGGCAAGTGTATAGACAGGCAGGCTTAGAAGAGATACACTTGTTGGCCAGTCAGTCTAGCAAAATGGGAAGCTCCACATTCAATGAAAGACACTTAGTGTCAACCTCTGGCATCCACACTCCTCCACATGGACACACACACACACACTCACTCACTCACACACTTAAAATTTCTGTTTATCAGATGATTATTTAAAGTGATCTATAGGATATTCTAGAAAAAAGTTTCATGTTCATACAGGACAACAGACTTGATTGTAGAATACATATAGAATGGCTACAAATCAGTAATGCAAAAGTAGCCAATTCTATAAGCGGGCAAAACAAATAAATAGATCCTTCATAAAGGGAGAGCAGTAAGCACATGAGAATATGCCCGACACCAGTGGTCATCACTAAGGAACAAAGGCAATCCAATGAGAGAGCTGAACTAAGAGTACTGACAGCACACATCCTGGCCAGGACACAGAACAGTGACAATCTACATAATTGCTGGCAGAAGTGCACACATGTACAACTACGTCACAAAACCTGGGAATTCTCCAAGGAGCTAGGACATGTGACCTCCTCAAATAGTGATATCATTCTCATGTATTTACCTACAGAGAAATGAAAATATATGCACACAAAAACACTTTTTCCAACATGGTCCAGATATTCATAGTCCAAATAAACAGGAAAAACTGATAAGCAAACTGTGAATGCCGGCAATGGCGTAACGAAAGTATGGACACACTGCAAAGACATTATGCTGAGCAAAATACACCGGACCTAACAGAGTGTATAGTGCAATCCCATCATAGGAACTGCTTTCTTTCTTCCAATCAAGGCCATACAATGCTATCCAGGCTAGACTAGAACTTGAGATTCTCTTGACTCTGTCTTAGTGCTGGGATTACTCCATCATATCCAACTACCCATTATGTGAAATTCTCAAATGAGCATATGCAATCTAACATATAAGAAACAGTGGGAACGGCAACATTGCTGAGCAGTTGAGAGTACTTGATGCTCTTCCAGAGGACACATACTCAGTTCCAGCACCCTTATCAGGCAGCTCAGAACTCCAGCTCTGGGAGATCTGATGCCCTCTGCAGGGCTCCACAGGCACCTGCATTCATGTGGTATATACACACAGAGATATACACACATACAAATAAATAAACATTAAAATAAAACTTCCTTTTAATAACAGAAATTTCTTCAAAAATAGAACATTAATTGCCAGAAATGGAATGGAAAATTGACTGGGTAAAGATACCATGTAGTTTGAATGAAAATGGCTCCCATATATTTGAATACTTGGTCCTAATTGGTGGAATTCTGTGGAAAGTGTGGCCATGACCTTGTTGGAGGTGGTGCATCACTGGGTGTATGTTTTTGTTCAAAAATCCACGCCATTCCCAGTGTCTGTCTGTCTGTCTTTCTCTCTCTGTGTGTGTGTGTGTGTGTGTGTGTGTGTGTGTGTGTGTGTGTGTGTGTGTGTGTGTCTGTCTGTCTGTCTCATGGCTGTATCTCAAGATGTGAGCTCTCAGCTACTACTCCAGCACCATGCCTGCCAACTTACTGCCATGCTCCCCATGGTGATGGCCATGAACTCTAATCCTCTGCAACTGTAAGCCCTAAGTAAATGCGTTCTTATATAAGTTGCCTTTGTCATAGTATCTTATCACACAACAATAGAAAAGTAACTAGACACTCAGAGACACTGAGAACTTTTACAGGCAATAGAAATGTTTCATGTCATAATAGAGCTATAGAATACACATGTGCATAATTCTGCTCAAATTGCACAAGTTTAGATTTGAGCATTTCAATTTGTTCAATTTTGCCTCAGGATACAAAACTTTAAGAACAGTAAGCAGTGGAATGAATTATGAGTAATAAAGAATGAGGTGGTCACTCCCCCGAAGGAGCCTGTACCCACAGTCAGTATACCTTCCTTTCCACATCTCTTCTTTGAGAGCCCACAGCTATGCTTTCAGTGTCTTCTTGTCTTCTAAGTGCCGCTTTCTTAACCCTCATGCTTAAGCCTCCAACTCCACTTCATAAAAAATGGCAGAATATTAACTGTCTTAGATGATAGAGGCACTCTGTAAACGTGATAGGAAGAGTTCTACCCATCTGACCTCAATATCACTATGCAACGCCTCAGTCTGGTTAGAAAGACCTGTACCCAGCAGAAGGCTCCAGACCAATCTGCAGTAGTACCTTGCTTCACGCTCCTCTTCCCCAAATAAACAACAGTAGCAGTGACAGTGACAGTGTAACACTGACTTCACATCAACTCTAAAGACACAGGGACCTTAGAACAGGACAGCAAAGACCCACTCTGTAAATGTGAGCCATTGTTCCCATTATCACGGCTAACTTTTTTCCATTACTACCACTTGCTCAGTTGCTAGTAGTTTTATGTCTTCTCTGAGTAGTGTCCCTTCATCTCTGAGCAAGTGACTCAAAACTAATCTTTCTGCTTTCACTCTGGATAAACAAGTAAATAAATAAACATGGAGCCACTTAACTGATAACCACCTGCTGCAAGCAGGGGTAGTCCTACATCGAAGGAATTACTGTCACCGCTTATCCACAGGAGTAGCTATCCAATAAGAGCTGAGTCTATCATCCCACCCTTCATCCCTGTGCTGTTTGTGGGCTGCATCCTGGGAGTGTTCTCAAGCCTGCTGTCTTGGTCCTGCTTTTCCAGAACTGGAGAGTTGAGTCCTCCAGAGAGCCCCTGCAATGGCTCCTTCTGATGTAACTACCTTTTGTCTGCCAAACCCTCTGAAGTGTGTTGTTGGAACCATAAAGGATTTGACAAGAAAAGATAGATGGGGTGAGACAGAAAGAAGTAGAACAACACAGGGTAAACTTAGGGAACCCATGCTGATGTGATTTTACTGGATAATTAAGGCACAAAAATGTACACAACCGAATCTCAAATACGGGTTTGCTGACTGCTGACTTGAGATGAAATTAGGGACAAAGTGTACTGTCCTCAGCATAGGTGCCACTCGAGAGTTCTGGAAAAGAAATTCTACTTTACAAACAACACAACATCTGGGCCAGGCCCCAGAATTCTCAGCCTATCAGTGGGCTAAAATCCTATGCACCAATTTACTAAGTTTCTTATCAGGGACCTTTACCAGCACATTTTACAGAAAGAAATTTTTGTTTCAGGCAAAATGATATTTCTGAAGAGAAGTGAAGATACTTGTAAATAATGTTATTCCATCTTCTGTGCTGACTCAATCGAACAGACTTCTTTGTCAAATTAGTTTAGAACCAGCAATTGTACACACATGAAACAAGATAGGCACTACTAGATTTGTGAGAAACTGGGGAGGTAAATACTTTCTTTCACTTCTATTGAAAATTAGCCATATTCCATTGAATATACCTTATGAGATACTCATAAGTTTGTGACCATGAAGTGAATTAACTTAAACACTGACCCTAATATCAAGGCAAAGGCCAGATTCGGGTAAGCCACGCAGTTTCCAACCATAGAAATGAGAAAATATGAACTTCCATTAGTACCACTCTATAAGCTGGAGAACTAACTAGCAACATAATTTAACTAGTAACATAATTGTCCATGTCCATGTTCATGGCACGGAACCCCAAATCTTAGCGAAAACAGTGATTAACACCAATCACAGTGACAATATTCCATGGAATGCAAACTAGAAGTTGCCTAGGCAAAGGTCAAAATTTTTTCATATCCCTGACTTCACTGTAAAAAGTGAACTGAAGAACTTTTAACAGATTCTGAGAAAGCAGAACAGAATCGCCAAGTAACTCAGAAGTTGTGCGCCATTCCTGTGGACCACAAGCACCTGTTTGTATGAACATCTTCCAGCCAAGCCACCTAATCAGGACAGGCGCGCTAACCCACTAGTGTCTGGCCGCACGGCCCCAGCAGGCGGGCGCCCTCCGAGGCCGTTTCCCACGGTGGGTGCTGCGGAGCTGGGAGGGGAGGCGGGAAGCACCCCCGACCCCACCGCGTCCCCCCACCGCCGGCAACGCTGTCCTCCCGCCCCGGGCGTCCCGCCGCAGCAGACACTCACAGCTCTGGTCTCGTAGAGCACCAGCTTCTGGACCGAGCTGATGATGGGGGCAGCGGCCGTGGGCATGGCTCCAGCCAGTGGCGGCCCCACTACGGGGCACCAGGCCGCGGCCCAGGGCGTGACAGCTGCCTGCCCGCCCCTGGAGACAGAGGGAGGAGACTCTGCAGACCCAGCTCGCCAGACCGTGCAGAGGAAAAGCAATGTCGGCGCGCTAAACCCTCAGAGTCGGTGGCCGCAGGGTGCTTCCGGATTCCCCAGTCACGCCTCCCCTCAAGACCCGCCCATACGCGGGGGCGGGGTTACAGGAGTATGGCGTTGTTGAGGGCGGACGCTGAGGGCGCCATCTTTGTTAAGGTCTGGTTTAAAAAAAAAATCTGCTTTATCTCGATCCTTAAGGGAAGGAGGTCAGGCGACTGGAGTCTTGGTTCCAGTCGGCTTCTCCACGTCGTAATTGGTCTGTTTCTTCCTGTCTGTTCTTTACTTTTCTGAAACCTGTCTCATAGTGGTTTTTTTCCTGAAGCCTGTGATTTTCCCTTCTTTTGTTCCCTCTTTTATTCCCGTGAGAGTCAATAATGTTCAAATTGTGGCTGTGTGGCCCACGAATCTTTCCTAATTTCTCCAGTGTGGTATTTGCGCTTTTTGTGTGTGAGGCTGACGTCTGTGAATTCTAAGAGAGACGGTGCAGTATAAGGAAACGCACTGATGTTGGGACCGTTCTGGTTTACAGTGTTTCCGTTGCCCTCTGGACGTAAGTGGGCATTGAGTAGACAACATATGCACTCACTCTGCTCATCCCCCCCACATCTGTGAGAAAGGGCGTTTTATAATTATGAACACAAAAGCAAACATTTAAGAATTCACTGGAATTACAGCTCCACCTCCTGAGGCCCCGCCCTCCAAGGGGCCCTGCCAGCCACCCACAGGTTTCCAGGGCAACCGCCCAACAGATACTTGGAGCCTCTGGAAGTAGCAGCTGTTGGTCCCAGGTCCACAAGGGCCAGGTAAGCAGCCCTTTTCCCAGAGATGGGAGGACCTTTGTCCACCATCTAGATGCATTTTGTTATCAGCTGCAGGGAAGCCCACTTGCTGCGGGGCCCCCATACAACTATCTTTCTTCCGAAACTAAACCACGATCTGTTCCTAAACCAACTTTTCAAAACCGGTTCTCCTTTCAGCATCCAGGGTATTTGTCTCACAGTTGCGGCCGAACACCTGCTACAGTGTAAGACAGCGTAGCTAAACTAGCAGGAAGTGCTAGGTTCCCCAGGGATGTCTCTATACCCCAGAATGCACCACTAGGGGGTTCTCATGATGAAAGGATAATAAAACTTGAAAAATGCAAACACAGCTGAATGTGATATTAAAGTTTGCTGTAGATTCTAAGTTGGGGGGTTACAAGATTTCTTTTTTTTTTTTTTGGTTTTTACGAGACAGGGTTTCTCTGTATTATTTTGGAGGCTGTCGGTCTAGCCTGGCCTCGAACTCACAGAGATCTGCCTGCCTCTGCCTCCCGAGTGCTGGGATTAAAGGCGTGCGCCACCACCACCCGGCTTAAGATTTCTAAAGTAATTGGCTATAAATTAGTAGTTTTATTTCATAGTTTGATATATTTTTTGAGAAACTAGAAAGATGGCCGGAGTGTGTGTGAGGGAGGGAGGAAGGGAGGGAAGGAGGGAGGGACAGAGAGAGGAAGAGAGGGAGAGAGAGAGAGAGAGAGACAGAGACAAAGACAGAGACAGAGACAGAGAGAATAAGCCAGAGGTCAAACTGGATGTTGTTCTTCAGCCAACAGGCCCCAGGTAATCCATTTATCTCCATCTTGAATCTTGAACCTCTTAACTTTTCATAAATCAAGTCTTCTAATGTAAGCTAAACATTTGCAGAATATTTTGATTTAGAAAATCACTTTTTAAAATGTACAGTTCTGATTTTCAAATATTGTTTCCAATTATTTTTACTACAATTAAGCACCTCCCTTTTGAGGACTTTCTTTGTTTGCATCACCTAGAAGCAGAAAAAAAGAGACAATTTAAAAAGTGCCAAGCTGTTATATAAGGGCTGATCCCAGGAAACAGTGGCAAGGAAGGAAACTGGGGAGGGAGGAATATTACCAAGCAACCTTCTTAGTCAGCTAAATTCACTAGGGAATAAGGAGTACATACCTTGGAACTATTCACTTTCTGGGGGCAAAGGATCATCGTGTTTATTCACCAACCCCCATGGATTACTGGCAGAGCCTTCTATGGCAGAGCACTGATATCTTGGAAGTCCCTGTTTGTCTGGGCTCAAATAGAGAGAGAGTGTATGGAACTCACAGAGGAATTCCACATGCTGGTATTCAAAAGTTCAGTAATTACCTAGAAAAGGTGTGTGTCACGTGCATGAGAAGAGCTCTAGTAGCATCCGATGACTTCCACCCTTTTAACTACTCCTACTCATGGTCCCCACATGGTCACACCATCCACCCTTTCAGCCAGTCACACCCACGCTCCCCATTTCGCCATCCCACCATCCCATCACTGATCCTTGAAGGTAGTGACTACTCCCGGTTCCTAAGAGGAAAAGACTTGCAGAAAGGAGATCAACGCAGTCAGCTGCAGAACTCGATGTTGCAGTTGGCCCCCGGGTCCGTAACTGATCACTCATCATCTCCCTCTTCATCATTCATTCTAGGTTTTCCTACTCTTGGCCAGGACTGATGTGAGTGTAAGTTGTTTGTCCTGCAGAAAACCAGTTGTCATTCCTGGGTCTCAGTGTGAAGACTTATCTCAGAGACTCCCCAGAGTTCAACGTTACCTTCCCAACCCCAACTATTTAATTCCAAATCTACCTCCACCTACCAGCAGTGACTCCTCATAGGCTTGTGGAGCCAAAAATGACCAGTTGGTGGCAGCAGTTTCAGTTTTGTCATACCTTGACTGGGATCTCTGCTAACAACCATCTCTCCCATCCAGCAAACCCAGTCCACCATCCCCACCAGAGTTTTAAATTGTGAGGGATTGCCCAAATCAGTCACAGAGTGATGGGGATAATGACCACTTCTCCATCCATTACTTGGTTCATAAAGTACTTCACTATCCCTTACAATACTAAACAGTGCCATACCCGCACCTCTGAGATGCTTTTCTAACACATCAACAACTTCTAGGTAAGCTGTGATGTGGTAGAGACATTAGATCCCATACACACCTCTTACAATGTTTACCTTACTGCAAAAAGGATCCTTTGATCCGAGGCAATGTCCCATGAGATTCATGGTGATATGTGAGACAAACTCAATTCTTCGTTAGGTGTGCTGGCCAACAGACGATGGATGGAGAAAGCAAACTCACCTAGATCCTGTGTAACCGTTTTGGTTCCCCAAGAGATGTATCATGTTAAAGTCTTAGCCTCATGTGGGAAGCTGTCTTTGCGGGGCTGCAGTAGGAGCCAGCCAGGCAGCCCACGGTTCATACCTGAGAGGGGGAGTGTGGATAAAGAAAAGCTAACTAAAGGGGCTAAGAGACAGAGCACAGGGTATCTGTCGGGAGGGCCATTCAATCCATACTGAATGAGCCCTTAGTTTATTCTTTAACAATCTTAATTGCCCAACCAAAAGTGGGGACAATGGCAGAAGATTTCTATTATCATGTATAAGGGGCAAAGAGACTTACTTCCCTTAATCTTCCAGGTATTTGGTAGCCACACCTACCATCCGGCCTTCAGGGTCCAGAGTAAACACACCTGAGCCTAAGTCTGTTGTTACATAGATAGAGACATCCACTACCAAGGCCAAGACAAGCTATCGACTTAAAGGCATAAGGACATTTTTGAACTCTCTGACCCTTAGTCAAAATGAAATGGACTCCTTTCCATAGGTCCTGGCAGCCTCATCTCAGCTGTGGAGATGTAGAGCATCTGGTGTAGTGGAAATGTGAGGGAGCCTTACTAAGTCATGGCATAGCCTCTGTCACTTCATCCGGCCACCAAGTGCTCCCATTTAGGAACCTGCAGTACGCAGAGGACCAGGGGAAGACCGACTGGAATCAACCTTGCTTATCAGTTTGGCCTTTACAAATGTATGGTTTGTGAATGAAAAGAGTCACACATTTCATCCTTGCTGATACTAGATTTCCATGCTGTATAAAATATGCCACAAATTTGACATCTTAAAGCATTTATTATCTCATAGTTTCCATGGCCAGGAGTCCTGGCATAGATCAGCTGAGTCCTCCACAGTCAGGTGTTACTGAAATGTTAACGACTAGGAGAGAATCCAGTCCATCATTGGGAACATTCATCTCTGGTAACAGGACAGAGGTTCCTGTTCTCTCTAGCTGTTGGCTACGTGTTGCTTTCCACTCCTGGAGGTCAGACCCCAATCCTTGCCACATGGCCATCTCACAACACAGCTGCTTCCTTCTGAGCCAACGGGAAGTGTCTCTCCAACTGCTAAGATGAAGTCAAATATGATAGAAGATACCCATGAGAAGCAAGTCACACATCCGACTTGCATTCAAGGGAAGGGGATCATGTAAGAAGGCAGATGGGAAGAGTTCACTTTAAATGTGTGTGCCAAACTGATTACAAGCCCAGACACAGGCTTTTTCAGGGTTCCCTTTCTCATCTGACCTTGTGCCCTGTAGGCCCTTGAAGAAGCCATTCAGAATTGCCCAATAGCTTGAGGAATTAGAAGCTCCGCTCAGCGCTCTGCCTGCAGGAGGAGTCCTCCAATCGCTATTTTTCAGAGCTCCCTGCAAGTGGAACTAAGACCTAGAAGTGTTCATGTGCAGTTTGCACCAGCACGCCATAACTTTCTGTGATGTTTCTCTCCGTGTGTCAGCTTTTCCCAGGGAAGTCTACCTGAGTTTTGACCTGAAATAAATGTAAAAACCAGATAACAGGACTCAGAGTGGGGAGCCTGGACTACGTATTTATGAGCCTTATTTTGCCCTTCCAGACCTGCTTAGACTCATTCACAATTCCCCATTTTATCACTCAGTGGGCTGCTGCAGCATTTGCTCAACTTTGGGACTCTTTACCCAGTGGTCCTTGAGAGTAAGACGTGCCGTTTCCCACATTCTCCTGTTGGTGGTTACAAGTGTCCCTTAGAGAAAGCTGTGGCATCACCAGTGACAACACTTGCCCATTGTTACTCTGTCTATTCTTGGGGACTCCTCGCCTTCCCCTTCAGAAGGTTAGCTCCTGGGCTGGAAGCAGGAGTCACTGTACCCCGAGACTGCTGACGTATCGCTTGTGGTTCAGTTGCTCCCTAGGTTTTAGATGTGTGTCGGCTGACATTCCCATTGCCTGCTCCCCGGTCTTGGCTTTAGGAACGCCTCCACGGTTTCTAACGTAGCTGCTGATCGCTGTGCATCAGGCTATCCAGAGACTGCTTCCTGGTTTGAAGTTTTCTTTATAAATGGCTCCTGTTCTTCCAAAGCCAGTCAGCCCGGTGACACATGGGAACCCAGGAGCAAAGCAGCCTCACCTCTGCCCACAGTCCCAGCCCCAACCCTAACCCTAGCCCTAACCCTAACCCTAACCCTAATCCTAACCCTAACCCTAACCCTAATCCTAGCCCTAACCCTAACCCTAACCCTAACCCTAATCCTAACCCTAACCCTAACCCTCAGCCCCAGCCCCAGCCTCAACCCCAACCCTAGCCCCAACCCTAGCCCCAACCCTAACCCTAACCCTAATCCTAACCCTAACCCTAACCTAATCCTAACCCTAGCCCTAACCCTAGCCCTAACCCAAACCCTAACCCTAACCCTAATCCTCACCCTAACCCTAATCCTAACCCTAACTCTAACCCTAACCCTAACCCTCACTGACCCAGTTTATTTGTGATTCATTTCAACAAAAGCACCATAAATTAAATTCTGCTATTACAGACATAAAGTTTAAAGTGATAGGTTGTGCCCAGAAATAAACAGCTCAAACTAGCAAAAGCTTTCCATTAAAGATCAGCCTTGTAGAAATTTAATAAATATTACAATGCAAACGCTCGTGTGTATGTGTGCGTGTATTTCCAATTTGATTGAAATTTTCAATTTAAACAGCCTTAGTTATATGCTGTTTCTTTCTCAAATGTTTAATGATATGGCTCCTGGGCTAAGTGAATTCATGGAGTTCTTACCCACCTTCCTGCTCCAACAACTGTAAGCCCTTCAGTTTTGCTTTTTTTAATTGCAGTGTTTTCTATTATGGATTCGGCAGAGAAGAAAGAAGAATATCCTTTTGCAGATATCTTTAATGAAGATGAAATGGAAAGAAACTTTTTGTTGTCCAAACCTACTTGCTTTATTGTATTTGGGAAACCAGTAAGTTATCACTTCTAACTTTTGTTTTTTTTTTTTAATTTTAAAAGAGCAAGCTTATATTACCGTACAAGCTTGGAAACTGCATAGTATGTTCATTTTTTTCGTGTCTGAGAGGTTTTCATAATATCACTTCAACTCTGATACTATATTTGTTTTGAGCTCATATGTGTCTGTCTCCTTGTGCTGAGCTCTAGAAGAGAAACCTAGGCTACAATGATGCTGGTTTTAATAGTATAAGGATATAACTTATCGACACACTCTACTATGGTGATTGTTGCTGACCTAGGATTACTTCAGATGTGATTTGAATACAAGATCTCCTTAGAAACTTGTTGTGAGGCTCCCCAGATATTTGAGATGAACTATGAGGTCTATTGACAGCGGGAGGAGTGGAGGGCAAACGGGCCTGAAGTGTATCAGAAAACCAGCTGTCATCTCCCTGCAAAATGGGGCTAGCCCCAAGGAGCTGTGATAAAGTTGCTCACGCCTAGACAGCTGTAGGAAGGACTTCCATGCGAGTTCTGCTTTCAGCCATTGAGCTAATCAATAACTAAAGGACTGGGATAGTCAGTTAGAGAATCTTCCAAAACAGCAGAAGCCAAGAAGGGTCCCACCATTGGTTTAATTTTTGGTAAGAACCATAGGACAGGTAAGCAAGAAACATTCCTAACAATTTTCATTATGTTTTTAACAACATGGTTCTAAATGTCAACACTGACAGCACCCAGGTTCAAATATCACTTCATCAGAATGACCTTGTAACTTTGAAATAGGATGCTCTCCAAGGGTGTCAGGTAAAAGATTTATCTGCTCTTCACCATTGCTGTATGGGCTGAGGCTGTAGTCACAGCAGTGTAGGAGGCTGAGGCAGGAGGATCGCAACCTTATAGCCTGCTCTGGCTGCAGACTGAGTTCACAACCAGCCTGGGCAGCTTACCAAGGCTTCATATTAAAGTAAGAAATAAATGCAGGGCCAATGATATTGTTCAATGCAAGGCTCTCACCCATGTAGCCACAATATGTTGAACCCCAGAGCTGTTAAAAAAAAAAAGAGGAACTAAAATTATTAGGTGGAAGTTACCAAAATTTCCATGTTTCTTTTAGAAAGAAAATAAAATGACAAATCTCAATATATTTTATGATGATCCATAAATAGAATTACAAAGTTTTATGATATCCCGATGGTGTAGCTTCCTAATTTCAGGTATAGCTTCATAATTTCTTTCCATAATAATATATTTAAATAAGTTCAGAATATGTGGAATATATAAGTGGAGAAAATGAAGTTCTAAATATATAGGGCCCTCTTCATTTTATAGGGTAAACATTTATGTAATTATAACCATCAATAGAATTCTCTGTATCAGTGCCTCGTCTTTACAGTTAATAACATTTCTCTTTTAAAGGGGACTGGGAAGACAACATTAGCCCGTAATATAGCACAGGCATGGAAATGTATTCGTGTTGAAGGTAAATTTAATTTTTCTAATACTTTAGTATGAATAGTTTCAAAGATTTACAATATAGAACTGCATAATGAACACCAATTTAAGATCCCATAATTAATTGTTTCATCACACACCTGTCCACCTGATGAGTACCAACTTTCTAATAGCATCAGTCCAGTCATGTTTATTAGATGTCTCTGGCTTGTCTTTCCTCTAAACCTTTGTTTCCATCAGAATGCTCATATGTGTGCATGAGCGTCTTCTTAGAGATGGAAAGAGAAATAACTGAAGCTTTTCTTCAGAGCATTTTCCAGAAATTTTATTACCCTTATCAGAAAAAAGTGTAGGCTTTACTTATAAATTTCCTTACATTCTTTGAAGCATGTAAGACAACAGGCTGATGTGTGTGTGCGCGCACGCGCGTGCACGCGCACACACACACACACACACACACACCACATCCTTCTAGTCAGTAATGCTATTTTCTTCCTAATAGAAAAATAAGGGAGAGGTGAATAAGAGATTCATAAAGACAGGCTGGAGACACAGCTGAAGTGCTTGCCACACAAACATGGGGACCTGAGTTCTATCCCCAACACCCACATCAACAAAGGCCAGGTGTGGTGGCAAACGATTGCCATCCTGTGCTGGGCAGGCAGGGACAGGGGCATCCCTGGAGGTCACTGGCTAGTCAGTCAGCCTCTAGTGAGACCCTGGCTCAGCAACCAAAGTGGAAGGCTCCTGAGGAGTGAGACCTGAGACTGACCTCTAGTTTCCCATACATGTGCGTGAATGTGCACATGTACATACGCACGTATACACAGTGCACACACACGCATACACACAACACTCAGAAAAGTGGAACTAAATCTAAGGAATGCAAGAAATGTTTATTCTTATATTATTAAAAATAATTCGGGCTGGACCGACAGCCTCCAAAACAATACAGAGAAACCCTGTCTCATAAAACCAAAAAAAAAAATTAACACTGATTCATATTTGTCTAACAAGCTGGTGGTGAGTCATTGAAATCACTTAACTAACTGTAGTCATTGTTGGCAAGGATGTCATAACATGGGCATTCCGTATACTGTTAGTAAAACTGAGAGGCCACAATTGTTCATGTGTGCGGAGAGCAATTGGTATCACAGAACACATTCACACAGAACTCAATAATTTTCCTCTTCTATAAAAAGATTCACTATTGTTTCATGTATGTGTGTGGATGTTTTTCCTTCATATATGAATGTGTACCACATGCGTTCCTGGTGCCCATGGAGGCCAGAAGAGGTCTTGGAGCCTCTGGAACTGGAGTTACAGAAGCTACTGAGCCACCATGTGGGTTCCTTGCAAAAACACTCAGATATTTTAGCCACTGAACCACCTCTCCGGCCCATTTTTTTAAATAAAAAGTTTATATTTCAGATTATTAAAGAACATCAATGCATCTAAACTGCTGGTGCCATAATTCAACTCACCTCTCTCCCAGGTCAGGCTCCCCACCATTCCTAGCAGGACATATTCCTTCAAAATAGCATATTTACTGGAATTCTCATGGTTCTTTTTTAAACCAGTGTTTATCTATTTTCACATTTCTTGATAGACTATCAACATAGACAATTAATGAGACCAAGGCATTAAAGGATCTAGACTGATAATACTGCTGTGTACTTCTGCATGACATGGGACAGTTTACATGTCACTGTCACACACCACCTCATTCCATTCTCCTACTGTCCACTGCCTCCCATGGAGCAGTCATCCAAGGCCCAGTGGTCCTCAGAGAGTTAGTCCACTAAGATTTTAAGATAGTGGAGTGGCCAAGATGAGTTATCGGTGGAACAATCCTTTGCCTCTACCTTGGCCAACCTTAAACGATCTAACATGCATAAATAAATATGCTTTGCAAACTCTCAGGTGACATAGCCACATTAATCTTTGCCAACAGTTAACAAACATTCAGAAAATGTTTCCTATTTTAGCCATCCGAATATCAGCTTGCACTCATATGTTGAACTCATGTTTTAGCTTTATCGGTTTTGGAAGAACACATTGCCTCTGAGACTGAAACGGGAACTATGGTGAGCAAATCTACATTTCCAAGTTACTACGACAACCCCAAAATTGTGACTCCCAGACAGAGAGTGTACGGTAATGCACAGTGTCTGTTCTTATTCTAGCTGCAGTCAATGCTGGTGAGCGGTCACAGCATCCCAGATGAGCTCATCACGAAGCTGATCCTGGAGAAGCTCAAGTCTCCAGAAGTCTCTCACTTTGGTATGTGCACGCATTTGCGTGCCAGTAGTTACTTGGAGTTCTCTTTCTTTTGCTTTAACTCAGGAATCTCACAACCCTTCTTGAGCTGAGCATCTCAGATTCAAGCACTTCTTTGTTTTCAATCCTCTGGTGTCCATGATTGCATTTTTGTTTTGTTTTGTTTTGTTTTGTTTGTTGTTGTTTTTTCAAGACAGGGTTTCTCTGTGTAACAGTTCTGGTTGTCCTGGAACTCGCTCCGGACCAGGCTGGCCTCAAACTCAGAGATCCACCTGCTTCTGCCTGCTGAGTGCTTGAATTAAAGGAGTGTGCCACTACTGCCTAACTCTGCTATCTGATGACTCAGAGCATCAGAAAGGATGCCTTGGCCTTCTCGCAAGGCCTCTGACTTCTCCTGTCTGCTCTCGTGTTCACCCTACTATTGTAGCACCGTCAGCAGTCAGTCTCTTTGTGAGCCTGAACTGCTTCCCTCTGAAACTGACTACATGTTGCCAGGGCTACTCCTGCTCACCCAGCCTGCTCCCTAGTTACACATACAGAAAGTCTCTCCCTGCACAAAAGGGCTTTGCTTTCTCTAATTCTTTAGACAAGGCCACTGAAGCCAGGGCAACTGAAAAGAGAAGAGCAAAACTCTGAGATATTTGCAAAAGAAGGGAAGATTCATATACATGCCCTTGAAAGAAAGACGTCTCCTGAAATAGATTTGTTGAACGAAAGAAGGAAAATTAGGGAAGAGAATCAAGGGAGAGCTTTGTAACTGTAAGAGTCAGAGCTTGAAGTGTAGTTTGGTGGTGGAATACTTGTCTAGCATATTAAGAGCCCTGGGTTCAGTTCTCAAGACTGAAATCTAAAAAGCTACATAAGAATATAGGGATCAAAAACAAAATATGGTACAATAAAAACTGTATCAAGCCGGGCGTTGGTGTCGTACGCCTTTAATTCCAGCACTCGGGAGGCAGAGGCAGGTGGATCTCTGTGAGTTCGAGGCCGGGCTGGACAGACAGCCTCCAAAACAATACAGAGAAACCCTGTCTCGTAAAAACAAAAACAAAAAAAACTGTATCAACAGATATCATTTGTCCTTTAAGTAGTTATCTCACTTTATTTGCTTTTCAAAAAATATTTACTATATTCTCAAGGCTGAAACAGTTTACATTTGTTCCTCAAAGAGAAAAAAAAACATTAAAATAGCAGAAAAATATACTGAAGTCCTTTCATTTCTAGCTAAGGAATTGAAATGTATTTTATTAATGATAGATAAGTTTCTTGGGCAAGCAAGTGACATAATTTGAAGTATATTGGGAAAATCAATATGATGCTGGTATCCAAGACTGATTTCAATGAGATTTCAGCCTCTGTATGGGAATGCAAGCCAATACTCATACTGTGTTCTGCACAGCAGGTACGTGGGTATTTTTTCACTCTCTATGCCTGCATGGATATCCTGTGTATGTGTTCTACTGTGTTATTAAGTACTAATTTAAAGATGAAAATAATAGGTGACATAAAAGGTCATGTGACAGTTTCTAACCTGAGATAAAGAAGTATTTGGCTTGGAGTTTCTTTCCATACGTGTCTCATCTAAAACAAAGTGACTCGGATTTTTTTTATTTATTGCTATGGTTAAGAGGGAGCATATATACATTATGGCAAGCATGTGGAGGTCAGGGAACAGCCTGAGGAAGTTGGTTCTCTTCTTCCAGCCTACGAACCCTGGGGCTGAACTCAGGTCGTTGGGCTTTGTCACAAATACCTTTACCACCTGAGTCATCTCGCCTGCCCCTGGCTTAAGGTTTTTAAAGATGTTTCCTCCTAGTCAGTGATTTTTTTATCAAAAATTATTCATAGCTACACTTCATGTGGTAATAACTATTAACTTAAAATTCATAATAGATAATTATGAATTTCACTTATAAATAGCTGTGTAATATTTTATAAATTGTAGTAAAGCCATGCTCTCACATAGTGATAATACTATAAATTGTTAACTTGTAATTTCCAGGTTACATCATCACTGAAATACCATCACTCTCACAGGATACCATGAACACCTTGAAGCAAGTAGAATTTATTAAAAATTTAGAATTGCAACCAGATGTCATAATCAATATTAAGGTAAGGATATTAGTTTCTTACTGCAATGGCAAATCTTTCCTTTTCAGAGAACTTAAATTCAAGGGATGCTTTCGCACTTAAAAAAAAGATTTACTTTATTTTTAATAGTGGGTCTGCATCAGGGCTTGTACATGTGAGTGCAGTTGCTTAAGAAGGCCAGAAGAGGGCATAAGATTCCCCCAAGGCTGGAGTTATGGGCAGTTGTGAACCACCTGATGTGGGTGCTGGGACTTGAACTTGGGTCCTCTGCAAGTGTACATGGTCTTAAGCACCAAGCTGTGTCTCCAGCCCTTGTTTCCATGCTTTCTGGGTAGTTATGCAAACAGTCATTGTGTATCACACTTCTGTGCTTCTGCTCCTGAAGTTCCACTTCCTCACCCCATCACCAGCCTTCCTCACAGCTAAGGCAGCGTGAGCATCACTGACACAGTGGGTAGTGCTGCCCTTGGCCAGCGGTTCTAAGAAGAAGCTGGCTGAGCACTCAGTCAGAAAGGAGGCCAGTCCACAGCTTCCTCTGTGGTTTCTGCACCAGGTTCCTGCCCTGACTTCCTTCAGTGATGGCCTGTTACTGGAAATGTAAGCCAAACCCTTTCTTCCCTGAGGTATTTTTGCTCGTGGTGTGTATCACACAATAGAAGACGAACGAGGACATGGTTCACCATAGCAGGGAAGTCAGGGCAGCAGGAAATGCCAGGCATCACATTTACAGGCAAGAGTGGAGAGAAACAAATGTGTGTGCTTCTGTCGTCCAGGACAAAAAGCTGGGGGTGGGGTTGGGGAAGAGCGACACAGACATGACATGACAACTAGAACAACACAGACACGACATGACAACTAACTTCAGGCTGGGTCATCCCACCCCGTGTCAATTAAAGCAATCAAGACTGCCCTCCACAAACACGCCCACGGGCCGATTTGATCTAGACCTCCCTAGGTCTGCCTTCCAGGTAATTCTAGCTTGTGACAATTTGACAATTGAGGTGAACTGCACACACTTCCTCATCTGAAGCATCAGGAGGGGAACTGTAGTCAGATACTGGTCAAGAGAATATGTCTCCCAGGACAGAGAGAGAACTCTTCTACAGACATCATAGACGAGAAGGCTCCGAGGAGTGAACACAGTCCTTAACTTAGTCCCTTTGTGAATGATAGCGAGTGCCTCTGTCTGGCTTCCACTGGGTAACCAAAGTGTAGAGAGCCCGCCTGTAATGCAACCCAGGGCAATGCAAGCTTCTCAGTAGTTTGGGGTTAATTGGAAAAAGCCTGGGACTTCTGTAGGCTAGAAGTTTCCAGCTTGGGACCCATGAGTCTCCTTCAATTACATGTAAAACTGTGAGTGTGTGTATATTTTCTGAGGCCAAAAGTGTCTGACTTCCAAGATAACTTAAAGGGGTTTGTGCTACAGAGAACTCCTGTGGCCAGCTGGTGTCTACAGTAGGTTCTCAGAGCAAATGGCAGCAGTGCCCGGGTGTTGTTCAAATGCAAGTTCTTTAGCTAAGACTCAAGCTGTGGGAGCAGCATCCAGCTGTGAGTGCCAAGAGAGTCTCTGCTCCCAACCCTTGAGGACCCTGTCTGAGGCCCAGCAGGGCCCCTTACTAACTCAATGACCGATTCCTTCAGCTATGTGGGTTTTTTTTTTTATTACCTGCATTAACTAAAATCTTTTTGGTGAAAACTTAGGAAGCCCACTTAAGGTCTGCCTCACTAAGTTTGCAAGAATATGCACAGCACGGTATCTCCACTTAGAGATGGCACGAAGAAGTCACAAAATGAGTAAGGTGGGGCCCACAGTCCCTTGCTTCTTTTGTTCTCCAGGTGTGGCTGTCACCAGAATCAGATGCTTAAAAAAAAAAAAAAAAAGAAGACTATGTTGCCCAGGATGACTTCCATCTCTCAATCCTCCTGCCCCAGCCTGCTCAGTAGAGGGCCAGCAGGAGGTGTTTCCTCCCCCACCTAAGGCTGACAATGTTTGTTTGGTTTTTTTTTTTTTTTTAAAAGTGGCTAAGTCACTCTGAGCTTAGAAACTTGTAAGGGGCACAGAAATCTGCAGCAAGCTCTCCAGACAAGTTTGAGCACTACTGACCTAAAAGACCATCCGGATAATTTTAGAATTTTAAGATGCTTTATTGATCTGTGTGTGAGTGCAGGCACACAGGCCTCTGTGGAGGTTGTACCAACTTGTTCTCAGAGTCTCCTGTGTCCTGGGAGGAGTGCTGGGATTACAGACCTGTACTTCTGTATCCAGTTTGGTCCATGGCTTCCGGCAACTGAACTCAGGTCATGGGCTTGCTCAACAAGCATTTTCACCCCTGAGCAATCCCCACCCCTTCATCTAGATTTTTTTTTTTTTTTTTTATCCTGCGAAGCATTCTGAGCAGGGTTTGCAGTCTCACAGCATCACTAGCATTCGTAAAGCACACAGAGAGCGCAGGGATGGATGGAAAACCACCATGTGACCTTGCTGTCTGCTTTTAGCCAGTCTATATTTCCCTAATCTGCAAGACATGAGGTTACTTCCCTCTAAGGGTAGCTTGAGAACTGAGCGAATCCATGCACATGGAAGGAAGGGTCTTCAAAGACGGAAGATACTTGTACATTTTGGTTTGGGGCTTTGGTAAGCATGTGGAGTAAGTTTTCTTCATTTGCAGAATTTAAAGACTATGTAACATGATCTCTCAGGTCCCATTTCTGAATCTTGTGAAATATTTTATCCATGAAGTGACAACAAGTATGACACACACACACACACACCAGTGTTTTGGCAGGATATGAGTAGATTTCTTCCTCATTTTCCTTCATTCTTAGCCTCTTTAAGCTAAAATAATAAAATCCTGTGAAACTTTGCAGATTAAACTGATTTTCTGTTCTATATTTTATTCCTCTCACCATTCTGCTAGCTCTCTCTCTTCTATTTAAAATGTCTGATAATCTCATATGTATTAATATCAGACTAGAATGTGATACAAAATACCATCACAGAATTGCATTTGCTCAGATTTAAGGAAAAAATTTAAATTTACCTGGTGGATAATATAAAACAGGAAATAAAAGCTTATTCAAAAAAATTGAACTCAAGCAAATTGAAGTTTATTAAAAGAGGAGTGAAGCCCAAAGCATTAGAGAAATCATGCCTAGAAAAGAGAGGTTCTGGAGAGATGGTTCAGTGGTTAAGAGCACCAACTGCTCTTCCAGAGGACCCAGGTTCAATTCCCAGCGTCCATATGGTGGCTCACAATGTCTGTAACTCCAGTTACAGGGGATCTGATGTCCTCTTCTGGCCCTCAGGGGTACCAGGCACATACATGGTACACAGATATGCCTGAGGACAAAACACCCACATGCATAAAAAATAAAAATAAATACATTTTTTAAAAAGAAAAATAGAAAGAAGAAAGAGAAAAGTTACGTTTTTCTGAGCAATTCAAAAAAATGGGCAGACTTACAAAGCTTCATGCCTGAGATTTTGTAAGAGGTGACACTATGGGGTGGGGATTCTGGGAAGGAAAAGCACAACATCTCATTAAAGGGATGACTATTCCTTCCACTTCTCTATGGGAACCTGCCTTCCTAGGAGATCAAATGTCTTAAATGATTTGATAATGTTGCTTTGTAGCGTGGTGACTATGACTTGTGCCAGAGGATCTCTGGACAAAGACAGCACAGTACCACAGGGTACATATACAGTAGAGAGCAGTGGGACCCCGAGATCATTGAGAGTCGCCGGAAACGGAAGAAGGACTCGGCCAAAGACGGAAAAGTTGAAGAGGAGGAGGAGGAGGAAGAACAAGAAGAAGAAGAGGTAACGTTCCAGTGTAGTCACTGCCACATGACCTTTAAAGTCTACTTTGATTAAGCGATAGCAAGGGGAAAAGCAGAGGCCCAAGAAATTTAAGGTTTTTTTGGTTGTTGTTTGTTTGTTTGTTTCTACATTTTTATGGTCTGCAGGAGATTAATACCTTGTATTTTCAGAACTATCTGAATCTTAAAATATGTCCAACATTAAAATTAGCACATATGAATTACACAGAACAATGGGTTTTGTTTTGACATTTTCATACATGATTACAATGTTCTTTGGACATACTTACTACCCCCATCATTCCTACTAGATGCCCTCACCCCTCCTACTGATCCTCTTTCCCTCTAAATACTCAATTTCAGGTCTGATTTATTTTTTTAAAACATGCTATGTTTTCCTTCCTGAATTCAGCTTATTTCACTTACCATGATGTGATGTCAGTGTTTCTTGCATACTGGCACTCTTTATGGCAGGAAAATACTGGTGTGTGTGTGTGTGTGTGTGTGTGTGTGTGTGTGTAACATATTACATATATGTATTATAGACACACACACACACACACACTACGTTTTCTTTTCTGTTCACTGATAGGTGACCACCTGGCTAACCCTATAACTTGGCTACTGTGAAGAATGCCACAGTGAACACGGACTGTAGGAATCTCTTCCGTAAGGACTTTGATTCCTTTGGGTGTATATACCCACATGTGGCATAGCTGGATCATGTGGTAACTTGAATTTTAGTTTCCTCGAGGAACTTCCACATTGTTTTCCATAGTTGCTAGACTAACTTACATCTCCACCAGCATATAAAGGTTCCTTTTCCTCTGCGTCCCTGCCAGCAATTTTGGTTGTTTGTTGTCTCAATTGTGGCCCATCTGATGGGTGAGATGAAATCTCAGTGTATTTTAATTTCGTGTCTCATGGTCAGTAAAAACACACATTTTTCGTGTATCTTCCCCCTGTTATTAAGCATAGATTCTTTTCTCATACGATATAATCTAAATACAGTTTTCCCTCCCTCTACTCCTCCCAGATCCACCCCACATCCAGATCTCTCCCTTCTGTCTTTCATCAGGAAAGAACAGGCTTCTAAGGGGTAACAACCAAACATAACAAAATAAAATATAATAAGATTAAATGAAAGTCATCATATTCAAGTTGGAGAAGATAAGACAACAGAAAGAAAAGAGCCCAAGAGAAGGTACAAGAATCAGAGATGCACCCATTCATACATTCAGGAGTCCCGTAAAAGCACTAAACTGAAAGCTGCAGTGTATCTGCAGAGGCCCCGGTGCAGACCTGTGCAGACCTGTGCTTGCTGCTCCAGCCTCTGAGTTCACACAAGCTCTGCTCTGTTGGTTTAAAGGTTCTTGTTCTCCTGGTGTCCTCCATCCCCTCTGTCTCCCCAGTCCTCTGCTTCCTCTTCTGTGGGGTTCCCTGATCTCTAAGTGGAGGATTTCATGGAGATATCTTATTTAGAGCTGTTTATTCCAAGGTGTCCCCCCCCCCTCTCTCTCTGGGTCTCTTTATTTGTTCCCATCTGCAGCAGGAGGAAACCTCTCTGGCGATGGCTGATAAGGCACTGATCTATGAGTATAGCAAATTAACATCTTATTGTTACTTTTTTTTCATTTTATAATAGATTCTCTGAGCTATCTCTGGTTCTTGGTCACCCAAACAGTGTCAGATATGGTTTCCATCTCAGTGGTCCTTAAGCCAAATAAGACATGGGTTGGTTACTCCTACAAAGTTTGTGCCAAAATTACCCTAGCATTTAGAGGCAGGACAGATTGTAGGTCAATGGTTTGTTGTTGGGTTGATGTTTACTTTTCTCTCTTGGTAGCCTGCAGAGTACCTTTCCATGTTGTAGACACTGGCACATGGGGGTGAAGGTTCTGTGTAGGCACCAGCTCAACCTCTCCATGTTAAATGAGTTATGTGTGGGTGTTATCATCAGCAATAGGACCTTACTGTCAGTTTGTGGAGAGCAGCCTATTGTATTGACAACAGCCTGGGTTGTTTGAGGATTTTTATGGGACCCTTTTAGCTAACAACTCAATTGGATGAAACTCAGTTCTGGTACTGGAAACTTTGTTTAGTGACAAGAGATGGCCAGTAGGGGTTCCATCTCCCTCATTATTTGGAGACATCATTAGGATCGCCTTCTTATATTTAGGACATTTCTACCACACTAGGTTTCTATACTGTTCTTCAAATGTTCTTCAGTTCTAGCTGTCTCTCCCCTCATTTCTTCCCTCAATCCCATCTCTTCTTGCCCTTCCCTTACCACCTGATTCTCCTGTTCTCATACCTCCCACTCTGGGCTACAGTCCACCCATAAAATCTATTCTACCTCCCCCTCCCAGGGAGATCCGTGTGTCCCACCTAGTCCCTTCCTCTATGCCTATTCTCTCTGGGTCTATGGATTGTATCTCAGTTATCATTTAGTTAACAGCTAATATTCAGATATAAATGAGCACATACCATACTTATCTTTCTTGATCTGGATTACCTCAGTTGGAATGATATTTTTTAGTTCCATTCATTTGCCTGCAAATTTCATGGCATCATTCTTTAAAGAACTGAGTAATACTCCATTGTGTAAATGTACCACATTTCCTTTATCCATTCTTCTGCTGCAAGATATCTAAGTTGTTTCCAATTTCTGGCTATTATGAAGGGAACAACAATGAACATGTTTGAGCAGTTGTCTTTGTAGTAGGATGGAGCATCCTTTGGGTATATTCCAAAGGTGGTGTAGCAGGATCTTGAAGTAGATCAATTCCCATCCCAAGTCCTACACTGACTTCCAAAGTGAATGTACAAATGTGCACGCCTACCAGCAGTAGAAGAGTGTTTCCCTTGCTCCACATCTCACCAGCAGGAGCTGTCACTTGTGTTTTTTGTCTCAGTCATTGACAGTTGTAAGATGGTATCTCATAGTACTTTGATTTGCATTTGTTGGTAGCTAAAGATGTTGAACATTAAGTGCTTCTCAGTCATTTGAATTTCCTCTATTGACAATTCTCTGTTTCTATCTGTACCCCCTTTTTTACATTGGGTTATTTGGTTTTTGTATATCAAGTTTCTTGAGTACTTTATGTATATTTTGGATAGTAGACCTCTCTTGAGTGTGTAGTTGGTAAAAAGTCTTATCCTATTCTGTAAGCTGCCACTTTGTCTAATTGACAGTGTCCTTTGTCTTACAGAATTTTTTCAGTTTCATGAGGCCCCATTTGTTAATTGTTGAGCTTAGTGCCTGTGCTGTTGGTGTTCTATTCAGAAAGTCTTCTCTGGTACCAATGAGTTCAAGGCTATTTCCACTTTCTCTTCTATCAGGTTCAGTGTTTCTGGTTGACGTCTTTGATCCACTTGGGCTTGAGTGATAAGTATGGATCTATTTGCATTCTTCTACATGCAGACATCCAGTTTGACCAGCACCATTTGTTGAAGATGCTATCTTTTTTTCTAATGTGTGTTTATAGCTTCTTTATCAAACATCAAGTGTCCATTGATGTGTTGGTTTTTGTCTGGGTCTTCAATTCATTTCCATTGATCAATGTGTCTGCTTTTATTGCCAATACCATCAATACCATCCTGTTTTTATTACTGTGGCGTTGTAGTATAACTTGAGATCAGGAATGGTGATACCTCCAGCAGTTATTTTATTGCTCAGGATTGTTTTAGCTGTTCTGGAATGTGTGTGTGTGTGTGTGTGTGTGTGTGTGTGTGTGTGTGTGTGTGTATGAAATTGAGAACTGTCCTTTCAAGATCTGTAAGTTTTAAAATTTTGAGGGGGATTGCACTAAATCTGTAGATTGCTTTTGGTAGGATAACCATTTGTACTATTTTAATCCTTCAGCTCCATGAGCATGGGGGATCCTTCCATCTTCTAATATCTTCAATTTCTTTCTTCAAAGACTTAAAGTTTTCATCATGCAAGTCTTTCACTTGCTTGGTTAGAGTTTCACCAAGATATTTTATATTATTTGAGGCTATTGTGAAAAGTATCATTTTCCTGATTTCTTTATCTGTTTGTCATTTGTGTCTAAAAGGGCTACTGATTTTTGTGAGTTAATTTTGTATTCAGTTTCTTTGCTGAAAGTGCTTATTAGCTATATGAGTTCCCTACTGGAATTTTTAAGGTCACTTATGTATACTATCTTATCATCTGCAAATAAAGATACTTTGATTTCTTCCTTCCCAATTTGTATCCCCTTGATCTCCTTCAGTTATCTTACTGCTCTAGTTAAAACTGTATTAATACTGAATGGGTATAGAGAGAGTGGACAGCCTTGTCTTGTTCCTAATTTTAGTGGAATTGCTTTGAATTTTTCTCAATCAAGTTGATGTTGGCAGTGAGGTTGCTGTAAACTGCCTTCATTATCTTGAATATGCCCCTTGTATCCCTAATCTCTACAGGACTCTTATCATTAAGAGGTGCTGGATTTTGTCAAATACCTTTTCTGCATCTAATTAGATGACCATACAGGGGTTTTTCTTTCAGTTTGTTTATATTAGCAGAATACTCTCAGAGTATTTCTGTTGCTGTGAAGAGACACTGTGACGATGGCAACTCTTATAAAGGAAAACATTTAATTGGCATGGCTCGCTTACAGTTCAGAAGTTCAGTCCATTATCAGTATTGTACAACATGGCAGCATTCAAGCAGACATGGTGCTGAAAAGTAACTGAGAGCCCTACATCTTGTAGGCAACAGGAAGTGGTCTGTGACACTGATCAAAACTTTAGCACAGAGATGTCAAAACCTGCCTTCCCCCCAGTAACACACTTCCCTCAACAAGGCCACACCTACTTCACCTCCCAATAGTGCCTCTCCCTGTGAGCTTTTAGGGCCAATTACATTCAAACTACCAGAATTACAGATATTGATTTTTGTATACTGAGCCACTCTGTAAGTGTTACAGCTCTGAGGGGAAAGGTGTTACCTGTGCAAATGTTATAATGCTAATGGGAAAGGCAGCAGGAGCCAAGGAA